TGCTTAGCAGGAGAATCCAAAACTTTCTGTATAAACCCGATATTTTTCCAAAGGAGCCCCTAAAACATTCTGACTGTGTATAGCGTATTAGCTAACGTATCGCATTTTGCGTATACACGCTAGCGTATATATGCTATATGCTTTAGGGTCTGAGCGTATATTCCAATTTAGTCTGATGGTCCTCAATGGCCCTAGCAAGCTGGCCTGGCTCTCCTTGCTCATGCCCAAAGCAACCAAAAACAAGCTAAGGAGTAGTTGAAGGTGAAGTATTAGAGCCATCCAATCCAAAGGTGAAGTTTCAAGGGATACTGACAGGGATTCAAGGCTGCTCATGTTGCCGATGGTGGATGGAATAGACCCAGTCAATTTGTTTTCTGATAGATTACTGATGGTACGTACATACAACAATTTCCATCCAAGAAAAGAGAGGGATAGAGTAAGTAGTTGCGGCGGGGGGGGGAGGAAGAAGGGGGGGAAGGAGAGAAGTGAAGGAGTTTGAAAAAGCCATGAATGTTGAACAAGTTATTATGATAACTCACACATCCAATCCGTCAAGCATTTAAAGAAGTGCACCATGTTACGCCCACATTTGAACGTGACACAAGGTAAACTAATGTGGGTGAACAAATGTGCTCAAAACGTTGTGCAGGTATATGCCTGGGAAACCAGGCTGCTTCTATCCCATGAAACGTGAAAAACACCATCGCGTATGAACCTGCAATTTGTCAAACTAAAAGTTCCAATTTTTAGCTCAATGACAAGTGTAAGGCCAAGCCGACAATTGAGTAAAGTCGAGCCAGCAATCGTGCTCTATTGGCTGTCCCCGAATAATCAAGCTGGTCCGACGAGCCGAGGCCCGGCGTGTTGGCTCATTAAACTTATTCTTTCACCAACCGGCCATCACAGATTCGCTCGAATTTGAGCTGGTTAATCCATTTCCCAACAATTTTCCACCGCTCCTAGCATTGCGCTACCACCCTCAATTCAAGCGCTTAGGTCGGTAGTCACTAGGGCAGCAGCGAACCGCCCTAACAGATGCTAGGGTCGCGCTAGGATGTCAAGATCTGTGAAGTGTATGGAGGTTTGGGTCTTGTAGATCCAGTGGCGAGTGGTAAGTGGCGGAGAATTATTTGGGATTTGTATTTTGAACAGTTTTGATGGGGAGGAGGGGTCTCTGACTTTCCTCACTTGTGAAATGACGATCTCTGCAGATCAGCGTCCGAAATCGCCAATCTGCGCTAGACATGAGCAACCCTCAAACTCGAGCATGTTCGGTTCAAACGTTGCCGAACACCCCTTGGACATGAACCAAAAATATTCGACCCTGTTTGATAGCATGGTAAGCAGGCCAGTAACGGGCCTGGTCTGGGTGGGTCTTTGGCGGGAAACCAGGCTCGACTAGGGGAAATTGCAGAGCGACCTCCCTGCGACTCAGCTCGAACCACCTTCGGATTCTCGGAAATTCCCGGACTTGGGTTAGGCCCATCCGTACAATGCCCACCCGGCCCTTATTGTACTGTGAACCACAGGCAAAACTGTCCTCCATTTGAACACCTATTTTGGCAAATCTGAAAACGGGTTTAGTGAAACTAGGGTATCGCACGCTCAGAAGGCCCTGACCGGGGGTTTCTTGATTTTCCATCTGCAATGAAGGGTAGTGAGGAGGTTACTTCTGTGCTTCAACATCTCGGTTGAGATGGGTGACTGGTTTTGATGTGTCCTACCGCTAGTGTACGAGGATTTCATCCCTCGGTTCATCTTGCCTTGCAGAATAAAAAACTGGTTTCATTTATTTAGTTGCTTCAAGTTCGGGATGAAACGCACCGAACAAGCTCCACCCGTATTCCCCCGTTGGCAATCGAACAAGGCCTTCAATTCGTGCGAACACTTTTTATAGAGAGAGGAGTTCTAGTGTTTGCCCTCATGGGCGAACACTTTGTTGTTCGCACGAACATCATCACGCTGTTGGTGGCAAACTCAAACATGTTCGAGTTTGACTAGGGGGTTTTCGCTATAGTCACATTCGGTTTTACATGTTTGTCGCATTGGTTGGCTATCACTTCTAGGGCATGCAAAATGAGTCCAGATCTCTTGCGATTTAGTGAAGGGCTACGAGTTGCGAGCGTGTGCTTTATACTAACGGCTTTATAATCTTTTTCCGTGACATAGAGCATATTAGGCTATTACGGTCATACAATTGGTCCCAACCGTGGGAAATTGTTGGGATCAGACAATTGTGAAGAAATGGTAGCTAGGTGAGGGCACCCACACAAATAAGGTAAAAAATGGAGATTTTGACCTCAAAACCGTACCCGTGCGGCTCTGATCGTACACATGTTGAGGCGAACAGTCTAAAGTCTGACTACAACACGTGTCTAATCTGATCATAGAGCTATGGGTGAGATCACCGATATTGGCTGATTGGCAGGGGGAAATCACAAATCTGCGCAGATCGGCAAGCGAACGCGACGATCTTCGCAAAGCGCAGGCGAAAGCTCTGGGGCCAGGTCAGTCGTGACCCGGTCCTTCGAGGCCGGTTTCGGGTCAGGTTTTTGGAAACTTCAACCCGGGAGACCCGACCTGACCCGACAGGGTATACGCCTGGGCCGCCCAAATTGGGTCGAGTCGGGTCGGTTCCGGTCAGATGCTCATGCTCTTATGACTCATTCATTTATTTCCAGGTTTTGTGAAATCATGAGACCAAGATGACAATCCAGTCAAGACAAGCAGGGGATCCGAGTATCAACTGGCTGGAATCAAGTGGATCTCGACGAGCCAAGATCCGGCTTGTTGGCTCACAGTAGTTGCGGCGGCAGCCCGAGATCCTAGAATCTCCCAATTTACAAAATGTTTCCCGATACTCTTTCGTAATCTGAAGCAGATTATCTTCATTGCACTTGCTCGTTCCTACCCATATGAGAAGATTGAAATGGCGAATCTGTGCTTTTCTCGATGGTGAAATGCCACAAAACACCCTAACCGTGAATCTGTGCTAATATGGTGGTGACATGCAGGACCTATTCGAAATCAGCAAAAACAAATACATCCAGCTTGACCGGCGGCTTGCCTACGATGGACAAGCCACCAACTCATGGCAAATTGTACCGGGCTGGCTTGTCTTGGAGCTATGCTCGTGCCTACTTTTCATTGTTGAGGAGTCTTCCATGCCTCCACAAGGACATTTCTGATGGTGGGAAATGCTATTGGGACAAACTTGGGCCTCTTCTCATGAGGTTTCCTAGCATAGAGGCATACCAGGTTTAACCGACTCAATTGGATGGACCATGGCTAGCAAAGCAATAATACTACCCAGCTCAAACCATCCCGATCTCGTCCCCGTAGTCATGCCTGGCCTGGCAGCCGAAATCAAATCATCCTAGCACAAGTACAATTTGAGAAACCACATTCCGAGCAAAACTGTGTGGGAATCACAATAAGCATAGTAGGCTTGAGCAATGTTGCGAACCCCCATTCGGTCCGTCTTTTGCCAAAAACGTTCGTTACGAATGCCCCCCGTTCGTGGCGAACGCGTTTGTGACGTTCGTTGAGTTGAAATGCAGCGAACGCGAACCCAGCAAGCTATGCCTGTGCAACGAGACAAGTTACTCGCTCGGTATCGCCCGAGTTACTCGTTTGGGTGCGAGTAACGAGTTTCCGTCGCTGTAAATTTTACTCGGGCGAGTCGAGCCGAGTTTTACTCGCCGAGTTTTTTTTGCTCGACGAGTATTCGCCTATCCAGGTCTAGGCAGGCTTCCATGCACTTACCGTGGCAACCCAAGGCTACCCTGGGCTGCCAAGGGCAACCCAGGGCTTTCCTGGGCTTCCCTAGGCTTCCTGGGACCACCTTGGGTTTACCTGGGCGGCCCTGGAAACTTCAATACTTCCATGGTACGAATGGCCTTCACTAGTTGTTATGTACAGAGTCGTTCTATGCAGGAGTAGGGCACATGGCAGAGTATTTACTCGTACTCGGACGAGCTTTTCGAAATGCTCGCCCGAGTTCCCTTTTATAAGGCGAGTAACGAGTTTCTCTTTGGGGAAAATGCTCGGTCGAGTATTACTCGACTCGGGCTCGTACTCGGCCGAGCAAGGCTAGGGACGAGTCGAGCATTACTCGGCTCGCCCCTTCGCACAGGTATACAGCAAACTACTTCTCTTAGAATTCCCGGTCTGCCTGCATTCATGCGGAAGGAGCGTTGGGCTCCCTAGTTGAGGCTGTATCCGATGCACCCGTGCCTAGAGGTGCCGCGGCAACACAACTGCCCGATCCAGGACCTGAATGTTTGCTGTGCGTATCGGTACGCCTGTTCATGTTGTAGGCACGTCTGCTGTGGTTCTCCTGCTGGTATTGAGGACCAAGAGCGGAATGCTCGAAGCCCTTGAGGCGGATCGCATGTAGTAGGTCCTGATTCCCTTGTATAAACATGCAATATGCTGCTGCTTGTTCAGCTTTACCACCCTGCATGCATATTTCTTGTCCTCCCAAAATAGGTCTCCATGTTGTCATGGCTGGTATACATATTGAGGTCTTACGAGCGTTTTTTTAACAGGTAAAAACCTCATAGATTCGGTGCAGAGACCCTGCCACAGGCCCCTGCCTGTCACCATATGGTGGACCTCCCATAGCCTTGTTGAAAAACCAACCCATCACCGCTCTGATGGGCCTCGATGGCCATACCCGGCTCTCCTTGCTCATGCCCAAATCAAACAAAGCTGTGGTTGAAGGAATGAATCCAAGGTGAAGTTGTAATCGGATACCCTTGATGATACTGACAGGATTTCAAGGCTGCTCATGTTGCCGATGGTGGATGGAATAGACCCAATCAATCTGTTATCCCATAGAGACCTGATGGTATATACACACGAAGGGTTTCATCCAGGGAAAAAGAGGGATAGAGTAAGTAGTTCGTGGAAGCAGGAAGTGGAAATGGAGCTTGAAAAAGCCATGACAATTGAACGCGTAAACATGATGGCTTACACGCACTCAAATAGTTACTCACAAAAATTCAAGGCTGCTCATGGTGCCGAAGGTGGACGGAATAGACCCTTTCAGATTGTTACCTGATAGATCCCTGGTGGTACATACACGCAACGGGTTCCATTCACGGAAAGAGAGAGATAGAGTGAGTACTTGGTGAGGGAAGGAAGCGGAATCAAAACCTGTAAAGGCCATGAAAGTTGAACTCGTAAACATGATAGCTCATATACACGCTAATAAGTGATGTTGGTAGTGGAAGGTGTTACGCCCAGATTTAATTGTCACACAAGGTACCTCTCCCAATAGGTGCCTCCAAGTGTAAGCACTAACATGTTTTCTATACTTCAAGTTTGACTTTGTAATGCATATTTTTCAAACGGCATCACAAGAATGCACAACAAGAGAAACAATAAGAGGCTCTGTTTTGAATGTTACACAAGCACACCAAAGCAGCAATGAAGCATATAGCGTGAAGCCTGTAGTGTGCAGATCGATGATGATCAGTGGTCAAAGTGTGTAACTGGATAAACAAATGTGGGTGAACAAAGGTGCTCAAACTCTGTGCTGGGATACTCAATGCTCAGATTTACATAATGATAATCAAATCGACAACCTGACAACCCTTAACAAAACTATCCATGCGCACAAGAAAAAGAATTTGGGGGCTAGTCAAAGCTCAAATTTACATAATGATAACCAAATCGACAACCTGACAACCCTTAAAAAAACTATCCATGCGCACAAGAAAAAGAATTCGGGGGCTCTGCTAAAGGGGCCTGATATGCTACGGTTTTCCTATACATGGAAGGAAAGACCTACGACGTATAAAAAATTGTCGCCAAAAGGAATAATGCTGTAATGTCTTTACTGGGAAAGGCAAGCTCATGATATACCAGATTTGGATCCGAGACTTGATTTGGGTATGATGGAACTAGTAGACGTTATGCCTGGTGGGACTGCGTCTTTGCTCTTCACTGCGAGCTTCATAAGACTCCCATTTTCATCGTCCTCCCATTTATGACGACGGGAAGTCGGCGGCCGACTTACGGGGTTCGTCGACTTGAAGGTGCCGGGGTCATTACCCGGTCGACGTGGTTACCTTGACGACGAAGTCCAGCAAAGGTGCGCGGACGTCGCCCAAGAGGTTTTGACGAAGTCGACCTGCGGGCTGGTATCCCGTGTTCGACGTGGCACATCAGGCGCAACCGTCAACACGTGGCCGACTTGGCACCTGCGATATGTGCATGGCGGTGCACTACATGTACACATAGTCACCTGCGGTTGCAACGCTGGCAAGCCACAGTGCTGCAACGTTAGCAAGCAGCCCTGGTGCTAGGGATGAGCAAGGGGCGAACACGAACATGTTCGTGTTCGCCCCTACACGAACACATCCATTTGCCGAACCGAACACTGTTCGGTTCGGCGAACACTTTAAGCAAAAACAGGTGTTCGCCGTTCGCCTGTGAAGGCGTGTTCGTGCGAACCTCGAACATGTTCGTGTTCGTCGCGGGGCAAATTGCAGCAGCGGCCCGAACACGAACGTGTTCGAGGCGAACCTCGAACACTGTTCGGCGAACACTTTAAGCAAAAAAAACAAACCTGTTCGGTTCGCCTCGAACATGTTCGAGGCGAACCGAACAGGTGTTCGTATCTGTGCTCATCCCTACCTGGTGCCGTGCTGGCAGGTAGCCGAATTGTAGTGCTGCCGGGCTGCCCCCGTGCTGCTCTGGAGGTCAACCTGCTTGTGTGCTAGGTTGATAGGCCTCTGATGTAGTCATTGTTGCCATTGTTATTTCATCATTCTCTACCCAACTTTTGCTAGTGAAGATCTTGACGATTCTCCATGTAAATTCGCAAGAAGAGAAAACACAAGCAAACGCTACGATCACTCGTACCATTCGTGCCCTCCCTCGTAGTCTAGATCCCAGTGCAGACTTAGTCTCCGCATGAGGGACCATATATACACGACAAAAGACCCTGGTGACCACGAGGTCACCAATGTGAGTGGCGGGCTGAACAGGTGACACATCACCATAGTCGGGAGAGATCTCCCTCGCACCAGTTCTGCCAATGTTGGTCACTGTCATGCACCGTCTCCCTCTCCAGCCCTGAGTTCCAAAGTGCACAGTGATTCGACCATGTGGGCCAACGTGTACCGGATACGGATCTTGAAATCCTCCCCGTGTCAGCGGCAGTCCTCCCCTACACGGCTGTCATCACAACGCTGAGAAAAGGTGTGCCTGGCAGCACACGGGGCATAGGCCTGCCAATCAGGACAGACCCAACCCCTGTCGGCCGTTGCTGCAGCTGCAAAATCTGCGGGAGTGGCTGTCACTAGAAGATCCAGCCTTGGAGACGATTCCCTTGGTGACGCGACGCGGACATTGGCACAGAGGGAGAATGGCATCAGGAAGTACTGCTGCTGAGTGAATCCCTTGGCCACATAGTGCGCTTTGAACATTGGGGCATCGTCCAGAAGCTGTTTCACTCGAAACAACCACTTGCCTCCAACAATGTTAATTCCTGGAGGTGGAGTCACGTCATCGAATGAGCGGTTGCGAGTGAAAGCTTCGCACTCAGCTTCCGTGGCAGCGCGCCACTCGGCAGCATGGGGACCCAAAAGAGCCTCTTGGACGGTGAGGGGGATAGGGATGGTCGGGTTCTCGGAGAAGTTGAGAGAAGGTGATTCGGTGATATTGCGGAACATGTGCGAGACCTGAGGAATGACAGCGTGAAGATCACACAGCTCCTCATGCCTATCTTCCAGAAGGGTAAGAGACATATTGCCCCCAGCTGGAGTCGGAGTGATCACTGAGCACTGAATGGCAAGTGCGAGTGGAGGAGCAAGCACATGAGACCGAGTGCCGTGAGCCACCAGAGAAGAGGGTGGAGCGGGCGGTGCTGAAGGGGTCGGTTTAGGAGACCTGGGCGGAGGGATCGGCTGCCGCTGGGACGTGATCGGTGCACTCGGTGGTGTGAGTGCGGGTTCTTGGGTGGAAGAGGGAATGGAGAGAGGTGGCGGGGCTGAAGGGTTCGACCGCCGATGGTTTGTGATTCGTGTGCTTCTGGGTGGAAGAGGGAATGGGGGGAGGTGGCGGGGCTGAAGGGTTCGACCGCCGATGGTTTGTGATTCGTGTGCTTCGACCGTGAAGCTCATTTCTCATGCCTTCCTCACACACACCTGTGCACATGCAAAACTCTACATACTCACTCTCATGTGCGCATGCTCACATTCATACTCACAGATAGGTCAACCTTTCCAAGGCACTGATGTAACCTGGAATGGATCCAGTTAAGGGTTGGTGCCCTAGGTCGCTGGTGGACGATGGAATGGAGAGGGTGGGGAACATTATAAATCTTACGACGGAACGGGATCAAGTGTGAAAGAAAAGGAGAGATTGGTAAACCCATCAAGGTGGTTTGAGTCCATCAAGGTAACCTTAGCATAGCTTGACATATGGTAGGGACGGTACCAGGGAATCACCAGAGCAGTTAGTAGGTTGGGGTGTAAATAGGGGTGAGCAAGGGGCGAACATGAACGTGTTCGTGTTCGCACCTGCACGAACACAGCGTTTTAGCAACAAAGGGTGTTCGGTGTTCGTCTGTGAAGGTGTGTTCAGGCGAACCTCGAACACGTTCGTGTTCGACGCGGGGCAACCCGAACACGAACGTGTTCGGGCGAACCTCGAACATGTTTGCCACGAACACTTTAAGCAAAAAAACAAACCTGTTCGGTTCGCCTCGAACACGTTCGTTTATTTGTTCTCCCCTAGATGTAAAGCATAGTAGCTTGACATACGGTAGGGACGATACCAGGGATTCACCAGAGCAGATAGTAGGTTTGGATGTAAATCAACCTTAGCATAGCTTGACTTGACATACTGTACGGACAATACCAAGAAACTACCAGAGCAGATAGTAGGTTTGGATGTAAATTAACCTTTGATGAGGTTGACATACGGTAGGACGAGGGATTTACCAGAGCAGATTCACCGTTGGATGAATAGTTCAAGCAGCAAGGGATTGCAAGTAAAGAACCAAGTAACATACAAAGGAATCCAGGGAAGGCATGGTCAGCAAGGGTAAACTCAAGGGATCGCAACAAGGGATTGCAATCCCTTGCGAAATGCAACAAAGGATTGCAAATACGCACGCAGAATGTTGGAGCGAGAGAGGAAACGGAGGAACCCTAGTTGAGGTCAGCAAGAGTTGGTTACAAACTGAAAAAGACCCAACATGCTTTGCGTCTTCATGTAGATGAGGCATTGAAAGCTCTCGAACTGACCACGCCTCAATACGCAATTCTGGCGGCACGGTTAAAGTAAAAGCCGGGAATTTCCAATGCAGCACTTGCGCGCTTGAGTTAATTCTCTCACATGTAGGTCACCATGCCTTGGTCATCGCAGTCCATATTGTAGGCCAACCTGCAGTCCCGCCCAGCCATCCACCCAGAGAAAATTTTCCCCCACGCATGCTGCAAGTCCAACAGGACTTGCACTGGCAGCAGATGGTGGGAGAGAGGGGTCAGGAAGGCAAACGAAGAAAAGAAGGGGTTGGGTCAGGGAACGGAGGAAGGATAATTCGGCTCTCGTCACCTCGTGTCGCACCCTTCTCTTTCTCCCTCACTCATCAGCCTGTTGCCGCACAACTGCGAAATGGACTCTTCAAGGACGAACCTTGGGAAGAAGCGAACGGGACACAGCGGACTGGAGAAACCATGGCGAGACACGTCAGAAATATGAGTAAGCTGAGCCGAATGGTGCGTCCCTTGTCGTCCGTTGCCATCGTGGTGCGGCGAGTATTATACTCAAAAAGACTACAAAAGCTTTGTCAACTGTGCACAGCTAGTAGTATGGATTCTGAGCGTCAATAGAAACGCGTGAATACTTTGTAGGTCAAACCAAGAAACTATTATAGCGGGAGTGGAGACGACGTCAAGTAGGAATTTGAGGAGGACACTGAAGCTAGGAAATGAAAATTGAGGAAAAAAATGGCAGGAGATAGTTGAGGGTGGAAGGTGAAGTCCCATTTTCGTGCCAGATCTGCGTTGCAAATTTCCTGGCTGCGACAGGCCAACATCGCTGGCGAGTTGTGCGACCTCCCATTCAGCCGTGAAATGTGGATGTCGACGGATGCGAATGTATCGTCAGCCCACCCTGCTCTCGCGAATTCCAAGGTGACACGAGTTTCGATGGTGGCGTGGCATGCCAGCAGGGCGTGCTGATCAACCAAAAATCTCGCCTGGTTTGCGAGTCAGACGGATCAGGACCACTGCTGACCCTGTTTGACGATCACCAACCTCTTCATCCGCTCTCGCAGTAACGGAACAAAACGAAAAGCTAATGACCACTACAGCAAAGAGAATTCTCCCAGCCTAACATCTTTGAGGCTTATTATGGCACTACCCACCAGCCACCTAACGACCTGGCGACATACCAGATTACCTGCTCAGCCCGCGACCTACCTTATCGCGCTCTAGATTTGTCAAGTGGTCCAGCGATAAGGTAGATTGACAGTCCAGAGTTCCGCCGTGCGAATTTTGAGTCGGCTAGGCTTTGGTGGCACGATGCCACTAACGTGATCCCCAAACATCTAGTCCCTACTCGCTACGATATGTCAAAATGTCGTTCAAGATCCGCTTTAAGAAGGGGACATCACTCTCGCACCTCCTCCCTCGCCCCGTCCTTCTCCTCACCATCGCACAATCCTGCGACGTCGCCGCCTCCATCGCAAGAAGCACGAACGCGTAATTGACGGCGGTTACTCTTTTTTCCCGCCCTCCCTCAGCTTCCTGCCAATTTCTTCCTTCCTCCAGCGAAATGGGTCTCTAATGGCATTCCTTCCTCGGCCCTTCTTCCGTAACTGCTCTGTTACGTATTCTTGAAGGATGGTCTCAAAAGGAACGTCAATTTTCCTCAGTCGCCTGGATTCCGTATGAGTTGACTCAGTAATGCTGCTGGCCGACATCCGTAGTACTGTCGTCGGCGACTCAGTCTTAGCGCCGCGTCGTGAGGCAACGTCGCGAGCATCGCATGCGCCGGACTGCGCGAGCGGTTGGCGATGGCGATGGTGGGTCAAATGGCGATCAACATTGCCTTCCTCGTCGTCGCCTTCAGCGCTGGTGGGAGAATTGTCTTCTCCCTCCCTGCTCTTCTCCCGTGCACGGTTCATGTTCCCCCTGATCCTCACCGATGTTTGCTCCTTATCCTCCTATGCTTGTTTTAAATATCCATTCATTATGTACCCCTTCCAAGACAATCCGAACTCCCTACTCTCCTCCAACCTCCTCCTTTTCTCCCCTTTTCCCCCTTACTTTCCTCCCAGTGCACCCCCTTTGAACCCCCTTCCTCATTTCTCCCCAGTCCCTCCCCCTCATCCTGTATGTCACCCTCTCACAGGCTACGGCGAGTTGCTGAAAACTGGGCACTACACGAGCAGGCAGTGGGTCCGGGCGGCCATTTCATCGTCTTTCCTGCCGACCAGACGGCCCTAGCCTTGGCCACCAGCAGCACAAAGCGTGCGACCTGTAGCAGCACGCGAGGCTGCACTGGTGGGAGTATCTGAACTCGAAGCACCAGCCAAGCGTGCGTCCTGCTGAGAGCACAAACAGTGTCCTGCTGAGGTGATGTATGTGTGGGTGCTGAATGGCTGGGTGGCGTTACACGCATGGCTGGCCGTCACCTTCCCGCGAATGGCACGCGCACGCCGGTCCCAAGCTGGACCGGTTTCCTTCCCCTGCCTTCCGTCATAGTACTACACACAGCAGCACGCCAACCAGCAACAATGCTGTGCATATAGGCAGCATAGGTGCCTTCCCCCGCAGTGCGACCTGTAGCAGCACGCGAGGCAGCACTTGTGGGAGTATGTGAACTTCGTATGGCAGCAACAAGGGTTTTACCAGCAGCAGTAACGATACAAGTGGCAGTGGCAGCAGAGGCGGCGGCGACGACAGGCTGTCGCTGCCTGGGGTGAAGCACATTGTGGGTGTGGCATCCGCGAAAAGGCGGCTTCGGCAAGTCCACCACTGCCGGTGCGCCTCACTGCCTCACCGCCTCACTGCCATGCGCCTTGCTGCTTCCCCTCCACACATCATGTCCCACCCTCTCCTCCCCCTCCTCTCCACCTCCTGCCTCATCTGCCTTTCGTCACCTGCCTATCCCCTTCCCCACCCACCTCCCGCTCCCCCTCCCCACCCACCTTCCCTTCCTCTAACCCATCCCGCTCCCCACCCCCCCTTCCCTTCCACTTTCCCATCCCCCTTCCGTTCTCTGCATGTCCACGGGTTCTCATATGCGCTCTACTCACCCCTGCCTCTTTCCATTCACGTACAACTTACCCCCTCGTCCCCCCTCTCCCCCGCCCCCCCCCCCCCCCCCCTCCCCCCCTCCCTCCTCTCTCCCACCCCCCCTCTTCACCCCCTGCTCGCCTCGCCCTCCCCCCACGCGCCCATGCTGCTGCTGCAGGCGCGCGGCGTGCTCTGCATTTCCGCTCACGCGGGCAGGGAGTGTGGGCTTCCTTTTGACTGCTCACGTGGCGGCCGTGTGGCGTGGGCCCATGGTGATGGCGGCTGTGGAGAAGCTTGTAAGGGGGACGGAGTCGGGGCGGCTGGACGTGTTGGTGGTGGACATGCCGCCCGGCACGGGGGATGTGTCCCCTGTCAGCTTAGCTTTGGCGAGCAGGTCCGGCTGTTAGGTGCGTGGTGGACGGAACGGCATGGGATGGGATGGGATGGGATGGGATGGGATGGGATGGGATGGGATGGGATGGGTTGGGGTGAGGCCAGGAGCAGCACGGCCGGAAGGAAACGGTGGGGCAATGGATGTAGTGGTGGTGATGGTAGCCGTGGACGCCACCAGCAGTGCTGGGAGCAGGCAGGCACCGGGGTGTGGCGGGTGCACAACCCCATCTGCACATCCCTACTGCCTGCCCACACATCCGCTTAGCACTATACCCGCTGACTCCCTCCCACTGCTGGAGAAGATTCAGTCGCTCTCCAAACTTCGATCTTTCCGCTCTTCTGTCGCTCCCGTCCATTGTTCTTACTGTCCACCCCTTCCACGCCTCCTCAATTTTCACTCCCTACTTTCTTGCTCTGCACACTTTCTTTTGTCTATATCCTACGGTTTCCCTTTCCCCTCTGCCCCCACCCCTCTCTCACCCACCAATCCCCGTTCTTCTAGGTTCTCCAGCCATCCATCCGCAGTCGCTCCGACAACGGCCGCCGTGCTGCTCTCGGCGCTCCTGCTGCTGCTGCTGCAAGCGGGAGAGAAGATTGGGCAATAGACAGTGGGGCCTCGGATGGTGGGAATATTGAAGACGCGGCAGCAGTAGACGGCGTGGCGAACGGTAGGCCGCCAGGAAAAGGGGTGGGTGGGGGGGTGGGGAGGGAGGGGGGGGGGGGGGGAGGGGGGGGAGGGGGGGAGAGGGTGGGGGTGTAGAGGGGAAAGGGGAGGGCGAGCTGGGGTGGGAGCAGACCCACCTTTCGCACCCCTCTGTGCACGCCTGGTCACTGTCTCCCCTGTCAGCGCGCCGATCCCACTCGCATGCGGCGTTCAACCGTGCACCCGCCTCAGCTACCAGCGCTCTCACCATCGCCTCTTTCACTTGCCTGCCCCCGTGCTTCCCTTTCTGTCCTCCGTCCAGCCCTCCTCCCACCCTCCCCCTACTCTGACCCCTGCATCACCTCCTCTGGGTTTGATGTGGTTTCCAGCAAGGTAACTCCCCTCAGTCCTCTTCCCCCTCCCCTCTCCGACCGACTCCCTTGACCGCGTCCTGAGTGGTAGAGAAGGCCCTGCCTCCACCCGCACCCCGCCCCCTCTCACCCCCCTGCTCACCTGCATCACTCCTTCCGTGACCTCTCCCCTTGCAACATGCCACTGTGCCCTGTTTCCTCTCCCCTCCCCTCTTCTCCCTCGCGCCGCTCCTCAGATCACCCCAGGCGGCGTGGTGTCCTGTGTGTGCCACGGATTGCCAGCAATGGAAGGACTTCACAGCTGGCAGGCTGAGCTGGCATGCCACGTGGCAGGCACCCACTGGAGCAGGCGAGGAGGGGCGGAGGGGAGAGCGAGCAGCAACAGAAACAGCTTTATTCCGAGAAGCAGCATGAGGGATGCGTGTGATGCCCGCAGAGACAGTGAAGGCAGCAGTGGGAGGGCAGTGTGGTGGGCCGGGCATGGCAGGATGGCAGCAAGGGTGCACTACAAGGTGGTCACACAGGACATTCTGCTCGCCCTCGCTGCTTACACCCGGTCAGACGCTCACCCATTCCACAATCCACTTCACTCGTTTCACGAACTGAGGAGGGGAGGAAGAGGGGGAGAAGAGGGGGGGGGAGGGGGTGGGGGGGGAAAGGGAGGAGGGAGGGGGATGCAGCACAGTGGGTGGTGTGTAAACATATTTCTGTGTTTCTGCCTGAAATTCTACTTAGCCTGCCCAATCCACCTCTTCTGTATCATGTGCACGCTTATGTATGCAACCAATCGTGCACTGTGTAAAATGCGCACGTTCCAACTTGGCAGAGGAGAGTCGGTGCTGCACATACTCCAAGGGTCCTTTGAGGAGTCTGTATTTTCACCTCCCCAACCTCACGTTCCGCCTTGGTCCCTCCCATATCAGCCATCAACTGCTCCTAGCAGTCTGCACTCGGAAAGTTCCAGCAGCCACATGATCGGTCTTCAATGTGCGCTCTAGCGGGGGAAAGGGTGCTAGGGTTACTTCTGTGGACGTGCACCTCATCTCATCCCATGCTCAAATTCATACCTACCTAAAATCATTACCTCTTTCCATACCTCATCCTACACCTCACCCCATGCCTCATCCAATGCTTCATCCCTTCATTCCCTGCCGCATCCATCATCCCCACTAGTGTCTCCTGCCTCTCAGCCAGCTGTGAGCAGTTTTGGCATACAAAACTTCTACCTTTTCACAAAACTATTGTTGTTCTTATGCTGGAAATCTTCTGCATGTGACCCACATGACCAGCCATGTGTGTGAATTTTGATCCCATCGATTACAAACAAGCGCAAATAGTGTGCTCTTATGGGAAAAGGTAGTATGGGGGCAGCTGTGCTGTGCACCTCATCCCACACCTCATTTCCTTACCACATCCATACGTTACGCTTCAAACGCTTCCCATTGTTTATATTATGCCTGCCCTTCACTCGTGCCTTCATCTTGGCTGGTGCAGAAGTTGTGTTGGTCTGAGGTGACACGGTGCAGCACACTACAAGAAGAGGGAGAGATGGACTGGAAGTCTTCATTGCCTGGATCCCTCTCAAATCCGTAAATCGTTTAGGGAGCAGGATCACTTTGCATGCACATGCACTGCTGCAGGAGCAGGTGCAGCGCCCAACCCCAACGCCTGTAGTAACAGCATTGTGGTGGTTGTGCCTATAGCAACTCCTCCCACCCAACTCAGCTTCTCCAACGCCCGCGATTATCCTCCATGTCCTCACCCATGTGCCTTTCAGCTGTCAGCAGCTCATTTCTACAGCTCCATCGCACCGTGGCCAGCAGCACTCCACTCCACGCCACCCTCTTTCCTCTGTCGTCCCCCTCTTGCCATTCACTCCGTAGATGAACCATCTCAGCTCCTCCCCATCCCAGCTCCTCCCGATCTCAGCTCCTCCTCATCTCAGCTCCTCCCCATCTCAGCTCCTCCTCATCTCAGCTCCTCCCCATCTCAGCTCCTCCCGATCTCAGCTCCTCCTCATCTCAGCTCCTCCCCATCTCAGCTCCTCCTCATCTCAGCTCCTCCCCATCTCAGCTCCTCCTCATCTCAGCTCCTCCTCATCTCAGCTCCTCCCCATCTCAGCTCCTCCTCATCTGCCCACCATCACCCTCCCATTTGCACCGACCCAGCCGAGCAGCACCATCTTGGTATGGGAGCATCAAGGGGAAGAAGATAGCCATCTTGATATCTCTTCTTCCCCTTCATGATCCTTTTATTCTTTTCCGTTCACATTCTCATTCTCCCACTCTCTCCCTGTAACGTTCCTTGTCTCTCTTTGCCCTCCCTTCTGTGATTCTTAAGGTCAACAACTATTCCCAGCATCCCCTGCCACCCAGTTCATCCCGTTGTGTTATGCCCTTCACCCTACTATGTCATGCCCCTCATTAAATCACCCCATGCACGAACCAGGTGTGTGTCCCTTTCCCGTTTGTATCCTCCTCTTCTATCCGCCATTGCTTCCCCATTGCCTCATGCATCCTCTTGCTCCTCTACCCACCATCCCAGCCGAGCAGCAGAGTTGGAACCGCTTTCCAAGTGCACCCCATCCCATTCCTCATCCCATACATCATCCCACACCTCACCCCATACCCATTCCATACCGCATCCGATCCCGCATCCCATACCCCAAATCATACCTCATTGCATACCTCATCTCATTCCTTGCCCTTACCGTCATTTCATATCTCATCCCATGCCTCATCCCATGCCTCATCCCATATTTCATTCCATACCTCATCCCATGCCTCTCATGCCTCATCCCATACCTTATATCCCATCCTCCCTATCCTCTCCTTCTGCCTTCAGCCAGCTGTCAGCAGTTTGATCATACGATTGCATATACCCTGCGCTTCATGCCTTTGGGTCATGCCCCTTCTTTATGTTCACTCGAACATCTTCCAGTTTGAAGGATTTTGCTCCTCTCACTGTTGTCGCCTGCTGTCACTCACAGCAAGGTTGCTGAAGTGAAGGCAGTGCTGACAGAAGCATTGAGGGCAAGGGTGACTTCGAGAAAGGACGATGGCGATCAGTTTGAGGCTCAAGTGCGCAGCAGCATGCATCACAGGTTCCCCTTCCTATGCAGACACAAGCCCACATTATCCTGCTTCGCGTCTGCCATCTGTGCCATGTCACACACCCAGCCAACAGACAGACCCCTCTTAATGTCTAGCTGCCACTCATTCACACCACCTTGGATTCGTAAATTGTGATGGAACTCTTTAAACAGAACGAATGTGTCCATACTGTTGCCTTGAGATGATGATTCTGTGGGTTCTATTGGGGCAGCAGCAGATGAACATCGTTATACACATGCACATCTTTAAACTTCCTCATGCTTTGACAGGAATGCATTTTAGATTCTGCTGTTTCTACCGGTGTACGAGTTCAGAGAAATTGTACACCTGCTGCACTAAAAAGCAAGCAGGCATACCATGCATGCAGCTTTCCCTCGTGCACCTGGTCCTTTGCCCTACACATTCAACTGTCCAACTGCAAGGCATGGGATTGATAACTTTTCCAAGTCTAAATAAAATGCAAGTTCTGCAGCACCACCACTCTGCCTCATCCCTCCGCACCGCATTCTTCACATCCCTTGCCTCCACACCGCTTGTCATTCTCCCTTTAGACAGCCACAGCCAACTCTTCCCTCGCCTCACCTCCCTTTCCATCATCACTCACTACCACTTCCTGTTTATCCGCCAGCGTACGTCACCATCCAAATAAAAATCCCCTCCTGGCAGCAAGAGATTTGTCAGGTTCGTCAGGGCAGACAGGTGCCGCAGCCCAGCATCCGTGACTGCGGTGCCATCTAGAGAAAGATCCTCAAGCCCTGTCAGCTTCCCCACATGCACCATGCCAGCATCTGTCACACTTGTGCACTTGATAAGGACCAGTGCTTTCAGAGAGGACAGAGGTCTCAAGTGCGCCAGGCCAGCATCAGTCACCTTCGCTTGATTGAGAAAGAGGTACTGGAGACTGGTCAAGGACCCAATGCCTTCCAAGGCACTGTCTGTTATATATTTTGCGCAAAAGAGGTCTAGCATCTCCAGCTGTGGCAGCTTGTAGAGGTGCTTGATTCCCTCTGCACTGAAGCCTGAGCTATGCTGCAATACAACTCCCCTCAGATGTGCCATTGTGGACACATGCCCGAGGATGTCGGTTGAGAGGCGGTGGCAATGCCTCAGGTCTATACTGAAATATTTTGATGCTGTCTATATTGCCTGGAAGAAATGGGTTGAGAGGGAAAATTTGACAGAACAAGGGGTGAATATATGGCAATAAGACAGAACTAGCAAGCAGTGAATGCCAAGTGGAACAAGGCATGCCTGTGCAACAACGCACTCTGCACTCACCTCCAATGCTTTCTTCGGATCACCTTCACTCTGCCTAATTTCCAGCTCAACATTCAACTTCAAATCTTGTATCCTCTGCCCTTCATTACAGGCTGCCGATTCCTCCGTGGCATGTGGCCGATTCACCTCCTGCACCTCCCTCCTCCTCTCCTCCGCTGTCTCTTCTTTCCTTCTCTTTCTACTCTTCCCTCTTAGCTCTATTTCATCCGATGCCCTGCTGAACTCAGCCGGTTGCTCTACTCTTGAGTCCATGAGTTCCGCCAACTGCCCCTTAACCGCTTTCAACTCCCCCTTAACCGCTGCCAACTCCCCCTTCACTGCTTTCAACATATGCCGCAACTCATCCAACTCCTCGTTGTGCCCAGTCAGCTCCTCCCTCACTGCTGCCAGCGCCGCCTCTTTGACCACTTCAATCAGTGGCCCCATCGCCCTCTCGGCAGCCATAGCATCCAGTGGACTCTCCTTCAACAGCCCTGCTTCAATCACTGATCCTGGCAATCAACCACCTCCTTCACTGCAGACTGTCGAAAGTAGACAACACCTGGGTGGGGTGAGGGGTAAGGTCGGGTGCAAAGAGGAAGTTGGTTGTGAATGCACACACAATGGGAAAACACTCGTGTGGGACGAGGCACAAAACGATGGACCACTCAGTGAGAGACGAAGCTTGTGCACACACATGCAGTTGACACGAGATTAGACTTCAGTGGAATAAGGGGAGGCCAGGGGGAGGAGCAGAGGAGACAAGATATCAGGGAGGGGCAAGAAATGTGGGTGGGTACTGCCAAGCTGGGACATGGGAAATAGTTGCAACAATGGGGAAACGAATGCACAGAGCGAAGGGTGGAGACCAGCAGAGAGCAGGGAAGACTGCAGGTTAATGTATGTGGAGCACAGTCGGCTGGCACACAGAGGGTTGGTACGCTAGTGGTGTGGCGCAGGTGTGAGCTGAACGATTAGGGCAGCAACAATGTCATAGGTAGAACGGTAGTAAGAGTGACGGTTATTGGAAAGGCAACTGTTGGGCAGGAAACTAGTAGAGAAATATAGTGTGGCCTGCCAACTCTTCGCCTTACCACAGTCAGGAAGGCGAGAGAAGCCGGAGCGAGCACACACCTAGGGTAGTGAGTGAATGCCATAGTAGGAATGAATGAGCTGCTCGTTGAGCCGAGACAGACGATCCCTGAAATCGACTTGCAACGGGGCTTGGACCCACCTCGTTTTCAGAGAGCTGGTCAGCTTGGGACAAGAGTGACGCGGGTCGCACTGGGTTTAGACGACACACTTTCCAAGTCAGATCTGATGCATTCAAGACCCTCTTTTTCTCATATCTTCCCCTTGGATGAGGTCGGCAAGGAGAGTGAGACACGGAAAATTCCCAGAGCTAGTGGACTACACTTGGCGGAGGTTGAGACGGGGTAGGTGGCTCGCGAGTCACAAGGCTGAGGCGAGGCAGGCAGCTTGCCGGGAGCCTCCTCAGCCCGGGCATTGGATTTGAGCCACATGTCAGACACGCGCAAAATTTGGCTCGGAGCAAGCCAGGCTCGGCTCGGCAATGCAATTAAGTGAGCTGAAGCAGGGAACGGTGAGCCTGGTACGGGTCGCGCATTGCTCGCGCATAAACCACACCACAGTATTATGGAATGACAACGTCGAAGTGGTTGGGAGGGATCATTGGTGGTAAGAAGAGTGGTCGGATTTGTTTTGGGGTGATCTGGAAGCTTTAAACTGGCTAATGTTCAGACAATGTGACAGCTAAAATCATCTCGCTCGTTGGTGGTCACAAGCTAGGTCAGATACAGGCTAGGTCAGCTATAACCTTGTACTCTCACACGCTAGGTCCGTTACAACACAAGATAGGGCACTTACAAGCTAGGGCAGAATAGGCTAGGTCAGTCACATTATAGCATCAGCTGAGGTTAGGTTACTCATTGGATATATCAACTCGAAGCTAGGTCGAGTCACAAGTGGGCTAAGTCATATGAGGCTGACAGCCACAGCCTAGGTGACCCATAGGTTAACCACTCATAGGCTAGGTAAGTCGCAAGCTAGGTCAGTTAGTCAAACGCAAATGCTAACACAGGCCATATTATGACTACGGGCTGCGTCAGTCAAACCTAGGACAGTAACATGCTAAAAGGAGGTGGCAACTTTGGAAAATATAGGCGAGCTCATACCCTCGGTGGTCAGTCACAGGGTAGGTCAGTCACAGGGTAGGACAGTCACAGGGTAGGTCAGTCACAAGGTAGGTCAATCATGGCCTACGTCAGTGCCAGCATGGTAAAGGAGATGGGAGAAACATGGGAAGGGCTCAGGCCAATAATGCATTGAGGAACAGCGACACGTCCTGGCGTTGTGCTGAAATCTCAAGCTTACTCGGTATGTAACAACGTTACTGATGGGGCTTGGACACATGTACGAGCACCCGTGGTTCGTATGATAGGAGCCTTGCTATGCGGAGGGTCGAGGCGGGGGAGACCAGAGCGATGCTCCTGTACTGCCTGAAACGTCAGAATGCTTACCTTTATTCAAGGCTTCCTAGAGTGCCGTGTTTCGGTGACTCGCGGGCGCAGTGACTCAGCAGCGGCGCCGAGGAGCCAGTCAATCTGCGGTGCGTGGTGCATTCTGAAAATGGTGCAAGGAAAGGGAGGCAGGGGGCGAAGCAGGACCAGGCAAGGACTCAATGCGAATGATACTCGCTACATATTGTTAGCCAAACCAAAGCGAGTCAGCCTCACCCGCTGCTCGTGACCACACTTAAGCGGTGGACCTAGAAACTTATGTGCAAGCTCTACCAGGGGTTGTACAGGAAGTGCGGGTTAGCACAGCTTTAGAGAATAAAACACTTTTACATCAATAGCGATTTTGGGAATGATTGCATGGTTGTAACGGCGCAAATCTAAACGAGGA